GGTCTGTAATAAATTGGGGGGGGGGGACCTCAAGCTATTTTTTTTTCTTCTTTTGCAGACTGTAAAAACATTTTTTTTTTTCCTAATGTCACTTTGATGCAACTAAATTTCATCCAACAAATGAAATTTCGTACAGACTACTGCTAGCGAATTTCGTCCGAATCCCGAAACGAACTGAATTTCGAACCCGAATCCCGAAAAATGGAATAATGCAAAATCCGAATGCAAACGAAACAAATGTTTTGCCGGTGCCACATGTCTAGTGTTAGGAAAGGTTTCGGCCTCACATTGTACTGGTTGTCCTCCTGTCCTGGCAGCTCTGCAAATTGCCTTGATTTTAAGCCCTCAGGGGCGGGGCCCTCCTTACCATCTTGTCTTGAATTGTATTGTGATTGTAATGTCTTCCTTATATAGTAAAGCGCTGCGCAAACTGTTGGCGCTCTATAAATCCTCTATAATAATAATAACAGCAAGCATTAGACTGAGGTACCCGGGGTCCCCCCAGAGGAAATGATAGCGAAGGAACACCTATCAATGCGCCATTGTGAAAAGTGGGCTCGGTTAAATGAGCGAGGTTTAACAGTAGGGCTTATTCCAAGGCAGAAGAGATAGGGATTGGTTTAATTCTGCAGGTGATGTGAAAGTGTGTACAACCACTTCAATGTTTCATGAAGTGATAGAAGTCCCATAAACTAAAAAGTGGAGCTATGGGGCTTCTATACACTTTTTGGTCAGCTGCAGGATCAGGTCCTTATCTTCCAATCCAAATATGTCCCTCAAGCAGGGAAGTGTGGTCACCAAACTGCATCTAGCAATGCTTCCCTATGACACTGGATGTGATGGTAATACAGGATGCAGGGATGTAGGAAGTCACATGGTTCAAACTCCAGGAAGCACACTTCCAATGACCATGTGAGGTGTTTTTTTGATTCTTACTGGAGTGGAGTACACAAACTTAGATTACATTTAGGTAAATTGTGGGAACTTTGGGAACATTGCAGTGTTTGATGGATTGCATTAGCAGCACATTGGTACATTTCACTGGCCAGAGCTGGCTAGCCACGCAGTGTAAAGAGACAAAGTACGACAGCTACTGATTAGCAAATGTAAAACCCATCCACACACTCTGAGAAACAGACAGACACGGAGAGACTAAGCGGAGGGGCTACATGACTGGGGGGAGGAATAGTCCCGGGAGAAAGGGTTAAAAAATAAAATGGGAATAGCTGCTCTTACCTGATTGGACGTGGGAGTCAGGTGTCCGGGAGGAGCCGCATGGGAAGGGACTGCGAGGGCTGAGGGACGTCCTCTTTCTGGAAATCGACGAAGGAAGCAGGTTGTCCCACCCTCCCTCCCTGAATTTGGTGGTTATGGGGGGTTTCTTTTGTCACGGCAGCTTGGCGGGTTAGGGGGTCTTTGGGGGGTCTACAAAATCAGAGTTCATTACAAAATGTGGGGGGCCCTCAGCTGGTATGGGTGCTTCCCCCTGTTGGTGTCCGGATTTGTAAAGGGCGGGGCCTGGCCCCTTGGGAACCCGGAAGGAGTAAGTGTCCTCGAGCTGGTTGTGGTGCGGCTGGGGACATGGGTGGAGTGTTATGAGAGGCCTTTTTTGGACTGGCGGGCACCCAGGGACCCCTTCTCAGGTCAACCCTTGTTAAAGTATTATTTTTGTATATTTGGTTTATTACTTTGGTTATTGTTAAAGTTGTTTGTTTAATAAAAGGGCTGCTGTGGCCGTTAAAATCCATGTCGCGCAGTCCGAGTGTTTATTGGGGTTTTTAACGGAGGGACAGAAAATTGAGGAATCCATCAGTCATGGGATTTAAACCAACTTGTGTTCAAGCAGCATTGTTGTTGGAGACTGGAGCACCTGCTGGTGGCCCTGTGGTCCCTGGACCTGAAGGGTGTCATTCCAGTATTCCTGTGGGAGGACATATAACTCCACCCAGTGCCGTCTTTATTAGTGATTGGACCCTGGGCAAACATTTTCTTGGGCCCCTGCCATGCAATATTGCACGCTACATGCTGACAGCACAGAGCCGTGCTGCAGCTGGGAATGATCCTGACAATATTGTTGGGTTCCACCCCGTTACCTGATTGATAGCTAACTCTGCCTCTCTGGATCCAGAGTCAGCTGTGCCCGTCCCCTCCCCCATCTGTCCCTCCAATGAGCACTGGAGGAACCGAGAGGGGAGGGGGGGAATGACTGTGACTGACAGGGAGAAGAATCGGGAACTCCGCGATCAGAGGTCTGCGATCACTTAGTTCCCTATGTATAGAGCTGACGTGTGACAGTTTCTGAGTCATCACGTGTTGGTTGTAACATGTCAGCAGTCTCTGATCATCTCATGTAACATGTCAGCAGTCTCTGATCATCTCATGTAACATGTCAGCAGTCTCTGATCATCTCATGTAACATGTCAGCAGTCTCTGATCATCTCCTGTAACATGTCAGCAGTCTCTGATCATCTCCTGTAACATGTCAGCAGTCTCTGATCATCTCATGTAACATGTCAGCAGTCTCTGATCATCCCATGTAACATGTCAGCAGTCTCTGACCACCTCCTGTAACATGCCAGCAGTCTCTGACCACCTCCTGTAACATGCCAGCAGTCTCTGACCACCTCCTGTATCATGTCAGCAGTCTCTGAGCATCTCCTGTAACATGTCAGAAGTCTCTGACCATCTCCTGTAACATGTCAGCAGTCTCTGACCGCCTCCTGTAACATGCCAGCAGTCTCTGACCACCTCCTGTATCATGTCAGCAGTCTCTGAGCATCTCCTGTAACATGTCAGAAGTCTATGATCATCTTCTGTAACATGTAATCAGTCTCTGATGATCTCCTGTAATATGTCAGCAGTCTCTGAGATTACAGTCACTGAATTTGGAAAGCACAGTTCTGGCTTCCCCTCATCAGGAAATTGGGTGAAAAGGAGTGATGTATACACAGCTCTGCCCCCCCCCCTCCCCCATGTGATCCCGGTGTGGGGGGACACAGATCATCATCTGGACTCCATGTCTATACAATGAATCACCAGCTAGGACACTCTGAAGACAGCAGTATCTTGCTCTGGTCGGCTTGGCCTTTGTTGCTGGGCTTTGTAGTTCTCTGGTGAGCTGCAGCCTCCCCATGAAGAGAGAGAGAGAGAGAGATCTGACCTTGTGATAAGTCTGCTCTGTGTGCCGGTCCTGCTGCCTGCGATCTCTGCACCGTCTTCTCCTTGTCAGTGGAAAGTGAAACTGAAAGCAAGGTGGGCGGCTGACAGGAACTCCTTAGGTTGCTCTGCTCCTGCCTCATTTGTATGGTCCCTGGAAAGAGCCGCCCAGCCTCCCGGTTGTTATGCCACTGACTGGCACTTCTGCTAGTCGATACTGCGCCCGGTGACAGTACACCCTAGGCGGCTACTTTGTTTCCCTCACAGGGCCCCACAGCAATAACTGGGCCCGGGGCAGCTGCCCTTTTTGCCCTGCCTTAAAGCCGGCCCTGACCCCACCTTAGGAGTCTTCCAGTACCTCAGCTTTTTCCCTGTGTGCCCATTAGCTTTGTATTGTCGTAAAGCTGATCCTCATTCTGACCCGTCTTTGCCATTGGTCCTGGCCAATCATCCTGGTTCTGCTTCCTGTGTTCCTCATTCCCTTCCTGACCTGTCTTATCGTGTGCTCCCACTTGACCCTGCTTGTTGTTTTCCTCCTGCTGCTTGTATTTAGTTTATTGGTTAGTTTTCTCCCGTGTTTAGTTTGTCAGTTAGTTTGGTTGGTTTGCTCCCGTGTTTAGTTTAGGTTGCTCGGTAGTTAGGTATTGTCCCATGTATATCGCTCAGCTAGTTCATAGTCAGTCAGTTAGGTAGGTTCTCTTGTATATAACCCAGTTAGTTGTTAGATGGGTTTCCTCCTCTATATAGTTTAGTTGCCTCCACTGTATTCCTGTGCGTCTCATGGTTTGTGTTGGATTTTTATGCCGTGCTTGCTGATTTCTTAATCACTTTCCCGGCTTCACTCAGTTCTGAGTCTGGTTGTCGTTGTGTAGTCCTATGTATCTTGACATGCCCGCTCTGCAGGATACCAGCACGTCGTGTCCTAACAATTACTAACAACAAGTCATGGTATTCATAAACTCTTTATCCAGTCACTTCCATATTGTAAAAGAGGAAAGCGGTTCAGGGTTAGCAGACCACACGGTACATATACAACATAGGTCATAATAATAATAGTAGATTTATAACTAGGTATGCACAGATACTTTTCGAGTACCAGTGCCGATACTTGGCATTTTCACAAGAACTACAAGGGTTGCAGCGGTTGGAGCTGGGACCGGGCTCTGGCACTCCACCACTGTCCTGAAATCATTAGTCTGTATTGTTTTAGAAAAACTGTCACATGACAATAAACAAAAATGTATCAGTACTTCTACTTGCAAAAATGTTATTGGTGCATCCCTTTATTTATATTCATAAAAACAAAATCATACATTAAAACAGAGATGTACAAATCCCGGGAGCTCCTTATGACAGCTGCCGCCTAACTTTTGAATTTTTCTCTAGTCTAGTCTTGGAGCTCGAAAAGTATCTGTACTTGTACCGAGTATGGTACTTGGTATCGGTGCACCCCTATTTATAATACATAAAGGTGGTAAAACATAAATGATATATAAAGACGCTTGACAACTCCTTGTTTTGGGGAATTATGGCACAATCACACATGATTATATCACATGTCTTCAAGCTGTAGATCTAGCAGTGTGGATAACATTGGAAGAGACCATCAAACAGTGCAGGAGATATTTTCCAGAGTCCCCGGAGGTGTGAGCATTCCACAGACAGGAAATGAATATCATATCAGATTCTTCTCACAGATGGCAGAACTATTACTATTGCAGGGATAATCATTCCATTTTCCTTCTGAAAAGAGATGAGCACAGTCCTCTTTTCCTAATCCATCATTTGGCTCTCCATTGCGCCAAGATCTGCCGGAGAAGAAACTCAATCAATTACAGGACAAGCCCCCAACGTTTCTCAGCTACATTCTTGTTTAGTGACAAGCAGCCGGTACTCATTCAAAGTATGAAAAATACAGTTTCTAAACAATGATTTGTATACAACCTTTTATTGAATAATATGAAGAAGACGACCTTTGTTTGGCTTCATACAGAAGGGAAGTTTATAATCAGATAAAGTATTCCAGTAGATTTGTGGTAGTTTGGGGAATATAGCGCAATGGTGAGCGCTAAGTGACCAATCCTGAAGCCGACTTTACCATAAAAGGAAAGTCTTTATTCACTCGAAGACCAGCAATCCATCGCATAATAATTTGCTTTTCTTCAGCATAAAGAAACATAACAGTTCATATGACTTTCATCAAAACATCATATTTCTGTCTCACCGACATCTGGCTGTCCCGTACACTCCCAGTGTGATAGTCTCAGCACTTTACCGTATTTCTCCAGATTTACAGTCCTCAGTATCGCTCAGCAGTTTCCCTCAGCTCCAAGCGTCTCACTGCTCACCCCTCGTGGGTCAATGTCTCTCTCAGTCTCTCCAACAGGTATCTCGGGTGTCACCAACCCTCTTGACCTCTCCCATCCTTCGTGGCTGTTTCACATGTGCTCGCTGACGCAGCAGAGTCTGCCTTGGGCCGCGCGCCTCCTGCACACCCCCAACTCCCCTGAGCTCTGGTCCAGACTCCTAATAAGGCTGTTCTCATTCACCTGATCCACCTATACTGGTCTTCGACAGCACCTGACCCCAGGACTTGAGAGTCCATCCCCCTATAATCCAGAAAACCTGGAAGAAACTGCAAACCTCTCAGCCACCCTGACAGAGTTCTGGGTCACTGTGTTGCCAAATTTCACTGTGGCATTGCCACGCACCTCGACAACTGGTACTGAACTAAGTGCACATTAATGGCAATGAGAAAGACATGTAGTTTTCGAGCCACTGGTTGGGGGCCACTGTATAAGATATGCAACAATGTTTCTTGGAAAGCTATTGCAGATATGACTCTTACCAGTCAGATTGTACTGGCACAAGGCTGAGCCCTTCTTGTTTTATAGGAAACAACAGAAACAAAGAGACGGGAAATGACATCATAACCATGTATTTATACTACATTGACTACTACCACCTAGTGGCACAACTAGTAATCCCATCATAATATATGAGAATGGTTGTTGCACCTATGTATGTACAGACAGCATACTAACACCCCTACTCTGCAACTACTTCTCATATAAGGTGTAGCGCTCACCCCCGAAGGAGCCGCTGAATGATCAGGTCTTCTGTTTCACCTCTGTGACACACCACAAGCAATGAACTCACAGCACACCAGCACACCTTTAAGGGTTTGATAACAGATTTACTGACAAACCTATATGATTAACTGCAAGAAAATAATAACATCAACAACCATAAAAGAATGGGTAACAATAGGCTAAGGCACTCTGAAACCAGAAACTAGAATCCAGATTGAATTGAGATAATTTTAAACTGCAGAATAAATTATATATTTCAATCTTGGGAGAGAAATACAAAATTGGTATAATCTCTAGGAAGCTGATTTCAGTTTCTAGGTAATGGTCTAGACTGATGTATAATTAAAAATATTTAGTGGAAATGTGTCATTACCCTAAATATAGTATTGGCTTATAGCCAGTCCTGTGCATGATGTGACAAAATTTTGCCCATGCGCTGTTAACATTTTGAGCTTGTGAACATCTGTTTGCTGGGATAAGTCATGTGTCAAAGCTGCACATTTTGTTTCCTTATTCTGTGAGCTACTGATAAGCTACTTATTGCATTTAAAAAGTTATTTTAATGGTCACATTGATATTTTTGGAATAATATCCTGTGGTTATATTTTACCCATTACCTGTGTTATCAAAATGTATTGAAATTTCTGATCCATTTTCTTTGTTTGTCACCAATTATATTTTTATTATTATTCTGCACTGAATTTTTAAAATTAATAAATATATACAGTGTATATTTTTGCACGAAATTCTATTCATGTTGTCTTCAAGTTAGCGCAAATAAACGAACTTAAGTTATTTTGATTTATGGAAATAAGTTGGGAATCTCCTTCATTATAGATCCTTGCTTGTTTTCATAAATAGAAAAACTGTTATTTTAGCAGTATAAACATTCTGACATTTCAGTGATGTCCTTTTCCTTTTCCTGCAGTACTGGTACACCTGGTACACAGAGCCCCCAGAGGCTAAAGGAGTGACTGGCATCTACAGGCTGCTCTGGGCAGAAGGTGATGCAGAGAGCCCAGAAACTCCAGACTTGGCCTCTCCTCATCTCTGTTTGTCCCTGCAAAGGTGACAAGAGGGAGCAGTGACAGGGCAATAGTGGAGTATGCAGTGCCAGGGTTACATCTCTGTAAACACAATTAATCAATGTATTATTTTATTCTATTTACTATTTCATTCACATGTAGATCAAAGGTGATTTGCATATGAATAAGACAGTAAATGCAATGACATCACTTAAAGAAACCTTACAAATTATTTTCCTTACATAAATGCATTCCTATTTAACCCCTTATTAACCCATTTTTGTATTTATTTTTGTTACCAAAAATAAAATGTATTTTTTCCATAGTGGGTAAGAGACATTTTTAAACAGCAGAAGCTAGGAGTTTTGTGAAGGGTCTAGGCAACGCACTGCTCGTCATTCGGGCAATGCGGCACCACACTTGTACCCGAGCCTTCTGTGTATCCAGCGTCCCTTGGTTCCGGTGTCTCCTGCATCCCAGAGCTCTCTTGTGACCCCAGTGGCTCCAGCTACCTTGGCACTCAGTGCCTCCAGTAACTTAATGACTGTGTACTCCTTAGACCCCAGAGTTGCCTGTTAACCCTTAGTCTCTTGTGGCTCTAGAGTTCCTGTACTTCTAGTGATTATGTCCCCCATGGACACCTGTGACCCCAGCACACTTGTATCTCCATTGACTCGCCCCCTTGTGCACTCTCATGACCCCAATGTTCCCAGTTACCCGGTGTCACCATCTAACTTTGTCTCCTGTGACTCCGATGTCTTTGGTATCCCCAGTGTTTCTACTGACCCTAGAACTCCTCAGTATCCTGTGTCTCCAGCATCTCCTGTAACTCTTATGCTTCTGCCTCATCCAGTGACATCACAATCACCATGTAACTTTACAGAAACCTGTCTCACCCTGTGACCCCAAAGCTTCCTGTCGGACCAAGTGTCCCCATAGTCTCCTGAATCATACGGTGAGTCTATTCAGCCGCAGGTGCTCTTTTGAATGTCCTGGACATTCTCCCCCGTAGTGGATTAGGACCCCTGCACATGACAGGAGGTTGTGTAGAGTTTTTTGGGATAACACAAATTGGCACAGGTGCCTGGCACATTCACTGTGGCCATCACATCACATTCACCATCACGTCAACCTCCCCAGACTCACAGCACTGCAGCTGACCCCCATGCTCCAACCCTCACTCTCACCACTGCCCCTTACCTCCATTTTCCCTCCTCTGTGCTCTCACCGCCTCTCTCAAATGTACGCACTCCCTTCTCTACTGCACCAACACTGGCCTCTGTGCTTGCTGCCATTACATTTAACACATGCCTCAGCACACACCACCACTATACCAATGCACACTTCTGTGCTCTCTACCACTGCAGTGATCCGCTTTTCCGTATTAAGTTTTTTCAACGAATGGGAAATCTTTTGTTATTACTGCATTAAACAGAAATTATATAATATACACACAACTTACGTGTAGGATAACCCTGTGCCATCAATCCACTTAAATGTACCTTCCGTCTCCAAATCTGTCAGACCAATCCAATAATATCTTCTATTAGTCTTACTCTGTAAAAAATTCTATTAAGGTGAGAAAGAAATCAGTGTCAGTGTAATATACTCCATATAAAGCCAGAGAGCTTATTAACAGCGAGTAGTGGATGTATGATTGTAACATATGTATTGACTCTTGTTCAGTGTTACAGGACAATATTGTTGGACCTCTAAGCTCCGGAGGTAGCAGGTTTAATTCCTGTGAAACGCGTAGAACTCATTATGAACAAGCTGTACAGACTCAGCAACTACTAATGCTAAGAATAAATTGATGCAAACTCAGATTTTTAGAGAGGTCTCTGACATAGTCACAGCATTAATGATAGAACTCTCACTTTGTTTTGTATATGAAATTGAAGCGTGTATCTGTGATTTTTCTTACATTTTATCTTTATTTTTTATCATTATTTTTATTCATTTAATAAAAAAAATGACCTTTTATGTTATTGAGAAAATACAGTGGGTGGAATTTATCAAAGCCATTGCGACAGTTTTAGCCTCTTAGATCATTTTTTTTAAATGTGCAAATCTGTCTTTTAACATGTGCCCCTGTTTTGCCCAAAGCTTGCACTACTTTTCCAAATGCACGTGTTTTATTCCTGTTTTCATCTGCACTTGTTCTGGGCTGTCTGAAACTGGAGCATCACCTAAGAAAACAATCACAACTTAAGAAGTCCGCGTGACCACTTCTTCAAGATGCGACAGTTCAGCTTTTTGCCCAGAGTTACGAGTCTTCTTTCCTGGAGTCTGTTAAACCTCATTTATCAACAACATTACACTCGCATCATAAATCTGGCGCAAATATATTCCGTGCAAGTTCAAACACTCGCAATTGCTATGATAAATTCCGCCCAATATGTTTTAGTTGTTTGGTACGGTACCATTACAGTCCACATTGGGCTTCTTGCTTTCTGGTGTGCATCTATAGGTATGAAGGTACATGGGAGTCCGAGTTATCTTTCTCATATTTCTACCAATATCCAAACTCTGCTATGCTCCGCAGTTTGACTCTACACCTTAGCCTGCATTTTACAGCCCATTTACAAAATGCAGGCCAATGTATAGAGCATTCGGTATGCCCCAGAGGTGACATTGACAGGTCATGTCACCAGGCTCTCCTTTTTTTTCCTTGCTCCGCTTGCTTCCAAGTTGCAAAATAAGTGAAGCACAATGCACATTTGTAGATCACAGTGGTGCAATCTGGTGCAATAGAGGCAGTTGATTTATATTTTGTTGATATACCAGCTGGTCACCTTCTTTTCACATGATACAAATAATAGGTCGCATTATATACACTTTGAGGATTAAAATCCACTTTGGTGTAACAAGCCGGACTGAAAGGTGATACAGAACAATGATGGTGATTGGAGCCGTTTACCTGCTCTGCTTGACTGTTAATTATAACCAGATGACTTCCTCTGTTGAGACAAATCATCTCAGCTTGTGCCCAATTTAGTTCAAAGCCGGAAAAGAAATAACAATGACCTTCAAATTCCACCCAACCGTTCTCACAGGAGCGACCTGGAAAAATAAACACAGCGAGTTAGATACAGCGTGGGCATGTAACCACAATGAAAAGATGGCTGAGTACCCATTTATAGTGGCCCAAAATAAATAACAAAATGCAGTGAGCAGAAAAGACAAATACATGTTCTCAGTAGGGATCAGTGCAAAATTATGTCTTCCTTCATTTTGCTATGAAATTCACAGTTTTGTGAATGTTGTCTTCTAGTTTTGCCTTCTAGCACTGCAAGGCTGACTTAGAAAAAAAAAGCAAGTCATTTGAAGCTTTCCACAAGGAACGAGTAGCTTTAAAAACATTGCTCTGTGCATTGCGCTCATCATTTAAAGAAGTCTATTCACTGACCGTTGCTTATACAATGGGCATACAATGTTTGCACCACCATTGTCTTCCAATCTCCCTGCTAGAAGCCTTTGTAAAGTAGACATTAGCACTGATCAAGACACTGTCTGCCACGTACCAATGCGGGGTAACCTCTTTGTTGGGGATTACTGTCAATCTGTCAGAACTACCGGAGGAAGAGCGCAAATTGGACCTGGGGTATCTGGAGAGACCAGCGCCGTTCAGGCAATGCATGGACCTGGTTGTCCTCCTCTTGGGTATAAGGAAAGGCACAGTAGCCTCACCTAGAATCCTTAGATAGTTCATCTTAGATAGTTCAGTTCAACTGACTTACAAGTCCACGGGTCTTTCCCCTCCTTCTGACTTATGGGCTCACTCAAGAACAGGAATGGCGGCATTGTGGGAAAACTATGCAAAGGTGTCTATTGCAACTATCTGTAAAACATCAAGTTCGAGGAAACTCAACCCAACACCTTTTGCCTCACTACAGGCTGAATGTCAGATTTGGCTCGACAAATTCTCAGTGATTTCTGCTGTTCTGTCTAATTACATCCTTTTTTTTTTTCATCATCCTTTGGAGTGTTGGTTTTTACCTCCCTATGGGCACTGCTAGTATGTCTCATAGTAGGCTGACATGAGGAGGGCCAGGAATATGGAAATTGTTGCTGTGTACTTACTATAATTTTCCTTTCCTGACTTCTTCTCATGTCAGTCATACAATCCCACCCTATTGGCCATTGAAAGATGTTGCAATGGAACTCTGGGTCTAGAGGATAGTTTTCTTATATTTTCTAGTTAGGGTGGTCCTAAGGTGGGGGGGTAAGGAAAGCAAAATAGTAAGCATAAAGCAATTTTCCAAGAGATTGGCTGATTGGATATTTACATTAAGGAGCAGTTGAACAGGTGTACCTAATAAAGGGGCCAGTGAGCGAATATTATCTGTATATAGTGTTGAACTACCCAGTGGTGATCTTGGTTGATTATATATTTTTATACACATTGGTCTTTTCATCCTGGTGGGTTTAGCTCCATGGACTGAAGAGTCTCTTTTTTTCTTTTTAACAACTAGCATAAAAGTGAACCTGTCACAAGATAAATATGGGGGCTGCCATTGCTGTACTATCCTTTTGAAAATGCCAGTTGCCTTGCCGTTATGCTGACCCTCTGCCATAAATGACCTAGGTCAATGATCCAAAACAAGTATGCACAATGAGATGGTCCATGCATGTTCCAGGTAAGTGATCCAAAGTATGGAGGTGAGAAGTTGAACATAAAACAGTCAGGCAGTTAGCTTTTTCAGAAGAGGTCTCAGCAATGGCGGCCTCTATGTTTCTCCTATAACAGGCTTCCTTTGCATAAAAATAACCATTATTTATATAAAACTTGCAAAGATAATATCTAGATGAGGAGATGAGGGGAATATCTAGTAATACACAAACAGAATCATTGACTTACTTTTTTTAGGTTTTCTACATTTCTCTGAAGTTCTAAAGTTCGCTCGTTGACTGCAGTGGCTAAAAACAAATACAAAATTATTATTTTATTGGTAAATAAATAATATCATAAAACTAACACAATGTATTTGTATATTGTATGACCTTCAATAAAGAGTCTTGAGTTCTCACTACATATGTAATGACATTCAAAAATTACTGAACTGATACTAATTAAGCATAACTAATGCTGAATCTTATTTTTGTAGTTTGGGATAGAGTGGGGGAGGTGTTAGAACCCTGGCAAGTTTTAATTGCTAATACAGGGATTATACTCATAGGTCAGTCTTCTTAAATTTTCAGCACCCAAATGTATAACTTTGCATTTTTCAACACTAAATCTCATCTGCAAAGTCTCCACCCATCCCCCTTTTTTATCCAGGTCTTCTTAATTTATTTATTTGTTACAGATATTTATAAAGCGCCAATAATTTACAAAGCTGCACATTCACATGAGTCCCTACAATCAAGCTTACAATCTAAAGTCCCTATATCACATACATACAGGGCCGATTTAAACAGGAGCCAATTTACCTTCCAGCATGTCCTTGGAGTGTGGGTGGGAACCGGAGTACCCGGAGGAAAACCACGCAAGCACAGGGAGAACATGCAAACTCCTTGCAGATAGTGTCCTGACCAATATTTGAACCAGAGACCCTTAGTGCTGCAAGGCAGAAGTGCTAACCACTATGCCATTGTGCCACCCACATAGTTACTACATCCTTGTGTGTGCAATATAGTATATCTTGGGGGCAGTGCAGGGACAAGGTCAGCTTGACAAATAATACTTCTACAGTAGTTGTTTCCAGGGTGGCTCTCATGGTGTATGCTGTGGGACCCTAGAATGCTGACAGAGGCAGTATCAGCAAAGACTCCCACCCTAAATGCACCCCCACCACCACATTCCCCGAGGAGGGGGCCTCTCCTGCCTCAATGCGGCCCTATCTGGTGGAACATGGTGCTTCTGGCTGTGTCCTACCAGGGACTGCTGAGATATTACAGATGCAGAATGTGGGAGGTTCTATCTGGCTCCCTAGCAAGCAATACTTTCTGAGCAAATAAATGTGCACCTGGCTGCAGAGTACTTGATGCGTCTGCCAAGTTCTGAGAGTTTGCTATGTAAATCTTCAGATTTGTTACACCCACACGCCATACATTAAAATAACACAGAGCTGTTTGGTTACTCACTTCTGTTCTCCATCTCACTCAACTTACTCTTCATTATTTGGGTGTCTTCAGCATCTAAAGAGAAGTAATAAGAGTATATGAGAGCAGTTCAGAGGCGTACACAGAAATATACATTATGGGGGTTATTCACAAAGCTGCCGAAGGCAGCCGAGTGAATAACCTTGCCGAAGTGAAGTGAGCCGAACAAAGTTCGGCTATTAACTTCTGGCGTGTATGGCTGATTTCAGCCGTACATCGGCTGCCTTTGACTGCACTTCGATCAGCCGAACATGCTCTGCATGAGCCAAAGTGCAGAAGGACTTCAACTCAACCGATCCAACATTTGGATCGGCTGAGCCAAATGCTCCTGCAGCTCACTCGCTGCCATTCGCCCCTATTCTCATAGGGGCCGAACGGCAGTGAGTGAATAGCCGAATGCAGTAGTTGTGTCAGGGTGGCTCTTGTGGTGTATGCTGTGAGACCCTAGAATGCTGACAGAGGCAGTATCAGCAAAGGCTCCCACCCTGGGTGCACCCCCACCACCACATTGCCCAAGGAGGGAGCCTCTACTGCCTCAAATCAGCCCTACCTGGTGGAACATGGTGCTTCTGGCTGTGTCCTACCAGGGATATGCAGAGATATTACAGATTCAGAATGTGGGAGGTTCTATCTGGCTCCCTAGCAAGCAATACTTTCTGAGCAAATAAATGTGTGCCTGGCTGCAGAGTACTTGATGCGTCTGCCAAGTTTTGAGAGTTTGCTACGTAAATCTTTAGATTTGTTACACCCACACGCCATACAAAAAAATAACACAGAGCTGTTTGGTTCTCACCTCTGTTCTCCAGTTCACTCAACTTACTCTTCATTATTTTGGTGTCTTCAGCATCTAAAGAGAAGTAATAAGAGTATATGAGAGCAGTTCAAAGGCGTACACAGAAATATACATTATGGGGGTTATTTACAAAGCTGCCAAAGGCAGTCGAGTGAATAACCCAGCCGAAGTGAAGCGAGCCGAACAAAGTTCGGCGATTAACTTCTGGCATGTACGGCTGATTTCAGCCATACATTGGCTGCACTTCGGTCAGCCGAACATGCTCTGCATGACTCTTTCCAGCTCAAGGACATCCTTTCTATGGACTGGTGCCCAAAACTGGATCGCATACTCCAGATGAGGCCGAACCAGTGATCTGTAAAGTGGCAAAATTATAGACTTGTCTCTGCAGTACATTCCCTTTTTAATACAAGACAGAACTCTGCTCGCTTTGTTTACCGCGGCCTGGCATTGCAATCTATTATTCAGTCTGTGGTCTACAATGACCCCCAAATCTTTTTCCCTTTCCGACTTCCCAAGGGGTATTCCCATAATTGTGTAGCCCACTTGCCTATTTTTAACCCCAAAGTGCATTACTGTACATTTATCGACATTAAACCTCATCTGCCATATAGGTGCCCACTCCCCTATTTTATCCAGATCCCCCTGTAATGTTATAGTGTCTAATTCAGTGTCTATTACCCTCCCGATTTTAGTATCATCAGCAAACACCGAAAAATTACTTTTCACACCCTAGCCGATATTGTTAATAAACAGGTTGAATAGCATGGGTCCCAGCACAGAACCCTGAGGCACATCGCTCATGACCTTAGACCAATCTGAAAAGGTGCCATTTATCGATACTCTCTGTACTCTCACGTTCCTGTAGCCAGCTCTCTATCTATGTACATACCATTTTGTCTATACCCATAGACCTCAGCTTGTGTAGCAAGTGTTTATGTGGTACTGTGTCAAAAGCTTTTGAAAAGTCCAGATATACAACGACCACCGACCTCCCTCCATCCAGATTTCTACTCACCTCTTCATAGAATGTCAGTAGGTTGGTCTAGCAGGAACGATCCTTCCTAAATCCATGCCGGTTGTCATTTACTATACCATTATCCTGAACATACTCTACTAAGTAGTCCTTAATCATTCCCTCCAGCAGTTTGCATACTATTGATGTAAGACTGACTGGTCTGTAGTTCCCAGGTTGGCATCTTGACCCCTTTTTGAATATAGGTACTACCGTAGCCTTCCGCCAGTCGCTTGGTACACTACCAGTCATTACGGAGTCCTTATAAATGGGGAATAATGGTCTCGTTATAACCTTGTTGAGTTCTTTAAGTACCTTGGGGTGCAGGTTATCTGGTCCTAATGCTTTATTTGCATTAAGTAGTTTAAGTCTATGTTGAACCCCGGCTTCCTTCAGCCACTGTGGTATAGTTTGTGATGAACTATGTGTTTTCAATCCCCATGAAACCCGTCCTTTTCCTGAGTGTATACTGAGGAGAAAAAAGTGTTCAGCGCCTCGGCCCTTTCCTTGTCATTTGTGACTAACTTTCCCTTTTCGTCCTTTATTGGGCCTATCTGCTCCTTTCTCACCTTTCTACTGTTTATATATTGGTAGAATTTTGGGGGGTTCCTTTTACTAACTGTGGCAATATGCTTTTCGCACTCTATTTTAGCTGCCTGAATTACTTGTTTACATCTTTTATTACATTCTTTGTAGTTCTGGAATGCCAATGCCGCCCCCTCCATCTTATATTTTCTAAATGCTACTCTCTTGTCCCTAATGTGTTGTTTTACAGTTTTATCTAGCCATACAGGCTTAGTTATTGATCTTTTACTTTTGTTACCAATGGTATACACTTGGTAATAGCATTATGTAATGTGTTCTTAAAACAAGCCCACTTCTGGTCCGTGTTCAGGTCACGAAATAGGTTTTCCCTTTTGATGTCCCCCACTAGGTGGCGCAGTTTATCAAAGTTAGCCTTTCTGAAGTTTAGGGTACTTGTCCGACCGTCCCCCTTCCCTTTCGTGTACCCAATATTGAAGGTGATCACGTAGTGATCACTGTTACCCAGTGTCTCCCCAATTGCAACATCCTCAATGAACTCCCCATTATTAGCAATGATTAAATCTAGGATTGCATTATTCCTAGTTGGAACCTCCACCATCTGATCCATGAAGTTGTCTCGCAACATGTTCAGAAAGCGGCCCGCCTTTGTTGAATGGGAGGTTCCATTAGACCAATTGATGTCTGGATAAATTAAGTCACCCATCACAACAACATTACCCTGCTTCCCAGCTTTTTCTATTTGGGAGTGTAGATGAGCCTCCTCCTCCTCCCCTATATTCGGTGGTTTATAAAAAACGCCCACAATAAGTTTACGGCTAGCGTCCGTTCTGTCTAGTTCTAGCCACAAGGATCCCATGTCATCTCCACTATCTGTCATGATATCGTCCCGTATGTGCATATTTAGATTATTTTTGACATACATGCATACCCCACCCCCCTTCTCCCAAGCCTGTCCCTCCTGAACAGGTTGTACCCTTCTATATTAGTAGCCCAATCATGTGCACTGTCTAGCCAAGTTTCCGCTATTCCCACTATATCGAAGTCCTCTTCGAGTAGCATAACTTCAAGCTCTACTAATTTATGTGCTAGACGTCTGGCATTGGTGTACATACATTTGATTTTTGCATTACTATGGATTCAATGTTTACCCTTTTCTTGCTCCCTACTGCCTTTTTTATTTTGCCTTACTATGGGTGGTCCATTACTAATTTGATTAACTGGGGCGATTTGATTCACTATATGGTCTCCGTTGTCTATGTTGACTGGAGCGAGCCCAATATCTACCCTTGTATAACTCCCCTTTGTATTATTTGTCCCCGTGTTTACTTGTTCTATATTAAAAGTATCTATTTTATTCCCCCCCCCACCCATTATCTAGTTTAAAAGATCCTCCAGTCTTTTAACCATTTTTTTCCCCAGAAATGCTGCACCTTCCCCATTAAGATGCAGCCCGTCTCGGCTGAAAAGCTGGTGACCGACTGAGAAGTCAGGCAAGTTCTCCAGGAAACCAAAGCCCTCATTCCGACACCAGCTCCGCAGCTACTTGTTAAGTTCCTCAACTCTCGCTGTCTGTCTGGAGTGGCTCTTGGCACCAGCAGTATCTCAGAGAATACTACTGTGGAGGTCCTTCTCTTCAACGTAGCACCTAAGTCTCTGAAATCACTTTTTAGGACACACCATTTGCCTCCTATTCTGTCATTGGCATGGTGCCGATGTGAACCATGACAGCTGGGTCGTGCGCAACCCCATCCAGTAACCTGTCCGTTCGTTCCGCAACAAGCCCCCGGTAAGCAGAAGACTGTTTGACGCTCACGGTCCCGATGACAGATTATCCTGTCTGTCCGTCTGATGATGGAATCCCCCACCACCAAGATCTGCCTATCCTGACCCTCCATCCTGCTCCCATCCTTTAATCACAGGGCCCCATAGCAAAATGTTGTATGGGGCCCTGTGATTTCTAGTTACGCCTACCTGATAACCTAAACACCCCACCTAAGGGTGACCCTGCAGAGCCCACCATAGACTCTCTATGGTAGGCTCTGCAGGGTCTCAGGTGGGCGGTCAAGCCCTCTTACCTGTCAGCCTTCATCCTCTGTCCGCCTCCTTCTCCTCCTGTCCGAGCGAGATGCCATAGCGACCCAGGCGGCCCGCATGGCATCAGAGAGATGTCCTGGCCGGGCCCCCCCGTGCCGCGGGCCCCATAGCGGCCGCCTGGGTCGCTATGGTGATTGTTACGCCACTGAGTGTCGCCCCTGAACTTTTCCCTCTCCCTATCCTTCTAACGGTAACCCAGCTGCCCACCTCTTGATCCTGCTCCTACACACCCCCCTCCACGTCTAGGCGGCCCTCCATTAGAGCCTGGTGCGTCAGGTCCAGACCCTTTCCATGTTGATTATGCTCCTTAGTGTTGCCAGTTTGTTGTTTAGAACCAGAAGCTGGGCATTCAAACAAACAACTAGCTCACATCTAGCGCAGATGTATTCCCCCTCGAACGCATGTTCAAGAAATGCATACATTGCGCATGACGTGCACCTGGTTGCATACCCACTCATGGAAGACACCCCCCCCCCTTTTTTTTTTATATACTCTATTTATTAATTTAGGGTCAATGATTCTCAAGTGGCAATTTCACTCACTACCCCCAATAGTTTTTAAGCTACCTCCCAGAGGTTATTTTACTGAAGCCCTGGAGCTATTATATTAAATTAAACCCCTGGAAGTTTTTACACTACTTGCCAGGAGTTTAAGGCACTAAGGTCCTGTAGTTATTGCACTAAGCCCTGGGATCTATTGCTCCACAGCCCCTGGGTCAATTATACTACAGACCTGGGGTTAATTATACTACAGACCTGGGGTCAATTATACTACTGCCCTGGGGTTAATTATACTACAGACCTGGGGTTAATTATACTACAGACCTGGGGTTAATTATACTACAGACCTGGGGTTAATTACACTATAGCTTTGGAGTATTTTGCTATAGTCCTGGAGTTATTGCCCTACAGCCCTGGGGTTAATTACACCACAGACCTGGGGTCAACCACACTACAGACCTGGATTTAATTACACTATAGCTTTGGAGTATTTTGCTATAGTCCTGGAGTTATTGCCCTACAGCCCTGGGGTTAATTACACCACAGACCTGGGGTCAACCACACTACAGACCTGGGGTTAACCACACTACAGACATGGGGTCAATTAAACTACAGCCCTGGGGTTAATTACACTGCAGCCCTGGGGTTAATTACACTGCAGCCCTGGGGTTAATTACACTGCAGCCCTGGGGTTAATTAATTAATTACACTGCAGCTTTGCAGTTATTGCACTATAGTCCTGGAGTTACTGCACTACAGTTATAACGCTATGCCCAGCAGTTAAACGCTATGCCCAGTAGTATTCCTCTATGTCCAACCGCTTATGTACTTCTATATTCTTAATGCCCAGCAGTATGTGCCCTTAACACACTAAATGCCCAACCGTTAAATTTTAGATGTC